TGGGTCCTTGAGAGTCACAAGTCGGCCGGCATTGCACGCCCGCGGCTCCTACGAGATTGACTCCAGGGGGTGTGGCCAAGCAAGACCGGTCGAAGCGCACGTCGTCCGTCAGTGCGGAGGAGGTGATGAAACCTCACCGGCAGTGGTTGTATGCCCCAAGTTGTCCTTGAGTGTTGTTTGGGGGTTGCAATTCTGGTCAAAACCAAGCTTGCATGAAACTACTTGTGCAGGTGACTGCTAGAAAAACAGAAGGCATGAGCACCAGCACCTTCTTATAAGAGCCCCGGTGGGGGAACTCGGGTGTTGCGTGGCACAAGTATGATTTGCGTATCTGAAATGAGACGCACACAGGAAAGAACATACCGGTCTTGCGAGGGTGGGGCACATGAAAAATGTTTGCTCGGGAGTTTCTCCGAAGACTTGACAATAATTATGTGGCAAGGTCAACCTTGGCAGCGGCAATCTGCTGCAGGGTTTGTGAACTCCGAGCAACTGAGTTAAACGTCTCTCAGCCAAGGAAGGGTATTTCAGACAAGGTCCCAAAAGGATCGCAGCATACTGGGCCAGACTTAGACCCCCCGGCAGACGATTCACGTGTTGCTGGTTAAGAGGGAACATGAAGGAACATACTCAAATTCGCGTTTGATCATTTGCAGCCATCCACTAGCTGCTAGTCGATGTCAGCGTAGCCATAGTTCTGGCTCTACCGTCGTGGGTGAATGCCGCAAACCATCAGAATTCCTCGTCGAAAAGCTAGGGCTTATGAAAGGAATCTTCCTTTAAGGGTGAAACCTTTGTGACTTGGTGACGACCTTTCCTGTTAGACCAACCTGTCCGAAAAGTCGTGAACAGTACGCTGGAACCAAAACTGTGAGTTCCAAGCGCTGGGACAGGGCGCTTCTTGGACACAAGGAGTATGCGACGCATGTTAGCCCCAAACTATGGAACAGCATTTTCGCACTCGTTCACAAGCATGCTGGAAAACAGAATGACAGGAAACAGGCCTTGACCTCAAGTGAGAACTGACGGTGCCATCCCACCGCTTTCCTGACTTCCGCCCTGAATCCCCCCCAAGTTGAGTGCGGAGCCCCAGCCATTCTTGTCCTCAGTCGGGTTAGCCAGTCAAGCCAAACTCCGGCAAAGGACGAATATTTTGGCACCTTGGCAACATATTATATGTTTGTTTTGATTTAAAAATTCGGGCTGTATCTTGTGCGGACACCCTGCTCCATTGCACCCAAAACACCTTGAATTCGAAGCATTATCTTGTGGAACCTTGACCGCATATGAGGAAAACGCCAGGTGAGATTTGCTTTGTACGGTAGATTCTGAAAATACCTCAGTGGCCCGCCGGCCTTGACAAAAGAAAGAACTAAATAAATAAATAAATAAAGAAAGAAAGAAAGAAAGAAAGAAGGAAAGGCAGAAAGAAATGGCAGATGGCCCTAGGAAGCAGCTGTGAACCAACACCGAAGCCCTTTCTGATGCCTGGGCCAAAAAGAGCACAAACTCCCAACCAGTTCGACATGCTCCCGCGACAGGATTCCACCAGAAGGGTGAGGCTGCCTTCCCGTCACCTAGACCACTCACTTCCGATCGAGTGGATTTGTTGAACAAGGAACCAACCGTTTTGCTTACACCAAAATGCTCCAAACCCAAGAAGTGACTAAAGTCCAGGAACTCTCAGGTGAGACCATGATTGAAAGCTTAGCCATTTGCCCGGGCTCGTCGGTTCGGTAAGCCAACGCAAAAGGGCAAACGAACCAAAGCTTGACCCAATAGTAGGGAAACAGGCAAACACCTGTTCACGAGGAGGAACCGAGGACCTGATCAGTTGACGGGCCTTAAAAAAAACACTCAAACTTACTGGGCCTGCACCAAAGCGCAGCACAACCCGACAAAAAATCAAAGTTTGCCAACTGAAGGGGTAAGAACATCCTGGCCAACAGGATCCAATCTTCAATATTTTGGCCATGTGATGCATGGGTTCCCGCCCCCCCCCGAGCACCCAACAGAACTGGGTAAGTGAAATAAGAAGCCTTGGAATCCTCTAAAACCACTCTGTCCATAGGTGTCCTGTTGGGAAAATAGATTCCCTGGTAGATAATGAAACAACCAGGTCCATCAGGGCCCCCAAATGTGCTAAGAAGGACACCTGCGACCCTGTCTGGGGCCTAAGCAAGGATCCCAGGGTTTCCAGCTGGGAAAAAGACATGCGGACTCTTGTCTCGCGAGGCGCGCTGAAGGACTTGATCTTCCCTGCGATGGGCATGCCCTCCACGAAGTTTACGCCTCGAGCCGTTGGTTTGGCAATCCCTTGCAACATGGAAAGGCCACTCTCCTGTCCACTATGGAACTTACTCACCAGAGGGTCCTTTTTAAGGAAAACATGTCTTCCGCCACTCAGTCAGGTTCCATGTTCGTGGACGGGGGGGGGGGGTGTTGTTTGAACAAACCTCCTTTTGAACACCATGGTTCCCTTCCAACACCAGGGTGGTCTGGTCGTTTCAACGCATGTCGCTCCGCCATTTCGACATGGCAATCTAAGGGCCTGCCCGGAAAAAAATTATTGATGAAACTTACTTTCCCTGCGGCAACATGTCCGTGTAAATCACAAGAATTAATATCTCGTTCCAGTAGTTTTGTATCTAGAACCCATTAAGAGAAGCGTAGAACGGCAATCTACAATTTCACGTATGGTTTGTCAAAAAATGGGCAGCTGTGTGGTATTTTTCCCATTGTTTCTTCCCCGGAATAGCCAAAAAAGGCACCTTCGAGAAACCCCGCCCCACATGCTCCACGTCTTCAGCCAAGATGCTCACGGCCGAGGCCTTGTATCCTCGGGAACGGAATGGGACACTTTGTAGTGAACTTGGGCGCCGATCTAGCTGCACAGCCGAATGATAAACATGACACCTTGAAGGGGCCGGTTCAGCAGTGCTGTATATGCACTACTTGTCAGTATTACTGTGACGGTCTTGCCAGGCATCAGCCTGTGAAAGGTTTCTGTAGTAGGCAAAACCCTACGCGCGAGCGTTGCCCCAGCATCTGCTTCGATAGTAGCCAAGCAGGCAATGCCATCAGCATCAACCCAGGCCCAAAATCGCGCCTGATTGTCTACGCATTGCATAGGGTCCAATTCGCGCCTGGATTCCTTCCGAGTGTCCTCCCAAAAAGGCATTCATACGGCCTTAGTATGGCCTTATTTGGGGAAGGGGGGGGGGACTGGGGCTGGCGCGTGGTTGGATCTTATGATTGCTGAATGGATCTGAAAGCTCTTAGCGCGTGCCAACACAAAGAAGCAACATCCCTCTGAAATATGTCACGAAAGTGTGCAATATAAACCAATGAGACACGGATGGCTGTTTGAGGGCCGCAATGAGTCGGGGAGTCTGGGATGGTGCTGTGCCATCAGAATGTGCTTCATAATACGGAAGCACTGCTTGCTCCAGCAAGAGCCTTGTGCCATTTTGTTTGAATCTGGACTCACTGGAAAAAGAAATCCTGAAGTGAGGGATCTTCATCATGCGCTGAATCGCTCGTTTCACCATGAGGTGAGCTCCCTACAGTAAGTGCAGATAGACAGTTTAAGAACATGAGATGGCGGCTGTACATACTGTAACAACAGTAGTGGAGAGACGAGCCTAACATAGAGGATACAGTTGAAAAAAAAAACTGGTCCTGGTGTTGGTGAACCTCGAAGTGCACCATCCAGCTGGTGCTGTTTTGAAGGGGATCTCCCGGGGTGCATTCCCAGCAATTTGATCCTTTACTGAGAGCCATCAAGTAAACAAACAAAAACAACGTCTCACAGGGCAACATCCGGGGGAGTCAAATGCATACCGTGAATACCGGCAAACCAGAAACAATATAACAGGGTTGCTCCCTGGCAAATGGGTAAACATTCGCCCCCTTGGCAAGGAGGAGCCCGCTCAATTTTTCGACCCCAACCTATTTTCAAGGGTGGGCCCACAGAGAAATTCAAGCGAGCTAATATGGTGTTGGTCACCCGCCTCAAGCCTAAAGACTTTGACTGACCTGAGAGCTTGTTCTACGTAGACCAACGGCAAGCAGCCAGTGCTACGGGTTGTGCAAATGTCTCCTGTCTCCTTCTGCTCAAAATTGGTATGCACTTTTCCACGGACAACTTGCGCAAGCCAAAGGATTGCCTTACACCTCGATTGTCCCCGACCGGCGGCCATAGGAAAAACACACGGTCGCACTTTTAGTCTTGAACCGAAGGGCAAGGGGGACTGGGGATGTTTGGCCGTGTGTTCAACTAGGCGACCCGCAAAACGTGACGGGTGGGTTTCCCTTTTGGTGTGCCTTTAAACTATCCCAATAAGGGCACCCCCAAAGCAATGGAAGACATACCCAATTGTATCAAGGGCTTTGGGCGCTCCGCTAAGCCTGCAGCCAAGCCTCTGCCATCTGGCGCTTGTGCAGCTTGGAAGCCGACTTGTCCTGAGGCGGGCCAATGTGATGTGTCGATTCAACTGGCGCCACCTCAGTAGCCATATAACACCGAACAGACTACGGCGACTACGGGCGTTTACATTGATGTTCAGTACATGCGGCTATCTTAGGCAAGCTATGTGAGTTTGCATGTTTTGTTTTACAAACAGTAATGTTTTTTTCCCAAACCCATGGCTATATCATCCATGCTCAGTTTTCAGCCTACGCATGTGTGAATGATGCACGTGTTTGAACGACGTCAAGCGTTGAAGACAAACAAAACACCATGATTAGGTCAGATATACGGCCGCTCGAAAGGGCATGCCAACCGCGTTTGTCAGCTCTTTCTCCCGCAACATCCGTCAATGTCGTCTACACCAGGAATGTGTTTGTGCAGCAAACAGGCATTGCAGACACATGCAGACAAGCTCTGCAACACATCAGTGCTTGGCCCCTTGTGCGAAAACCGTGTTCATCTGCACTGGTTACTACAATTTACAATTCCCAAATAAGAAACCGACCTTGCGACTCGCAGGTGACAGGCGCTAGTAGCTTTTGCCACGCCGTTTGACAAGGCCCCACTGACTGAAGAAACATGACAGCTTGGGATCGCAGCATTTGCCTCCCTCTGAGGCCGGGTGACAAGGTCTTAGCTTCTGAAGCCCAAAGGGTCTGTCACCGCGTGGAGCCACTAGCAAACAAATTGGTAGATTACCAACTCTGCGCTCAAGGCCTCCCCTCAACTCTGCATCCAGGGCGCTTCCCGTCAGGAATTTTCCCTGCACTTCGCGAAAGTCTTCTGGCCTCGGGTGTGCTGCGTGTTCGCCCCGAACAAAGCAGGATGCTCAGGATGTGTGTGAGTTGTATTGCGAGTTGTTGAGACTCCCTCTTGGCAAGGGAGCCTGCTCCCGTTCCATGTTTGTTGGCAGGAGGGATTACGTCTAAAAACTGGCCAGGCTGAGGCCTACCCGGCGTTGAAAGTCTCCGGGTCTTTCTTCGAGTGGCAGCTCTCGCTTGGAGAAGAGCACATCGGTCTGGATGTTGTTCCCCTCGATAAAGCCGAAGCCCTTGAGCCCATTCCAGGACTTCACCACTCCCGTCATCCCCGTCATGGCGAGTCACACAGCCGAGCCACAACCCCAAAATACAATCGACCCAAAATGGCATTTGATGATGAACTTCGAAGGCATCAAACCAATCATCTGAACCGCAATAGCTGCACGGACAGGCGCACATCTCTCAAGTTGCGCTCTGCTTGTAAGTCGGTCAGGGCAAAATGGACAAATAACCCGTTGTTCGGCTCCAAATCAATTTCGCAACAAGCAGTCTGTCTGACTTGCTTGCACGGTGCACACACACACATTCACCTGCGCCTGCAAGAATGCTGTTTCTACGGTCTCCCAAGGCCAGAAAAAGTAAATTCCTCCTCCCCCCCCCCCACCAGCGGAGGAATTAAGGAAGGCCCTTTTAAGTGGCTAGATGCCTTGCTTACCTTTGGATCACGTGGGGGGTATTTTACTTTGGGGTCGGCCTTTCTTAGCTCAAGTCTTCTCTTGAGACCAGCAAGCACCAGGCGAGCGCAAAGGGCCTCTGGTGAAGCATAGTACGGTGTGCCAGTCTGCGTCATGCACAAGCCCCGCTTCGCCACTTTGGATACCTCGAAACGGCCACCCTCTCGGAGCAGGGCTCCCTATAATTGGGTATGTACAAACTAGGGGAACCCTGCCATGGTTGGTTTCCTTTCGGATTCCATTTGCAACCAGGTCAAACCAACCCAAAGGAGGTTCCCCAATAAACACACACCCATTTCAACCTGATCACCCAACGAGGACACTGATCTAAAAGTGGCAACCAAAAGGTGATCCTTCAACTGGCTGAAAACGGACATTCAGCTTCCTCTAATCGGTGGTTTGGCGGTTAGGGCTTGGTTTGGGATTAGGCCATGCAAGAAACAGGGGTCGCAACTGAATCCAAACCCCCCCATTTACGGTTGGTTCCTTGAGAAATATCGGGACCCCTTTGAAAGGGTCTCCCTTACACATAGCAGCTTCCTATCTTACTCTCGCCGAGAACTCCGCTGAACAAATATACAAACAGCACATGTCCAGGAGAGATTCCCTTTAAAACCAAAAGGGGACAATCAATCCTGAATTCTTAAACAACACATAGCAGCGTCCTACTGTACTTTTCCTGAGGACTCCCCTGGACAATCATGTAAACAACGTGTGTAGTAGAGATGAGATTCCTTGTTAAACCGACAGCGTACTGCATTCTTAAGCAAATGGAAGCTATACTTGAAACACTGGAAATCATGAACCCCCAAGCCAGGAACCTTTATTTTGGGATGAGCTCGTCTTATCTCCCCCCATTCTAATACACGCAAACCCCTGTGCCCCTTTTTGGGGCAAGTCAAATTAGCTCTCCGGGGCTTTTGGAACTTCGTGTTTGTGAACTGCGGGCTTGGGCCACCTGCAACATGCTAATGTTTCCTGGATAGGGAACATGAAGGAACGGCGGACGCCGAAAAGGAACCCCATCCTCCGCTGCTATTTGTACTCACTTCGTGTTTGTTTACCACTAGTGCCGGAACTCAGGGAGTGAGTTTAGCTGGCGAAAGTCTGGCATTGCTTTCTTTCGGCGAGCCGCAGTGCTGGTTTACCGCCTGGGCTCGACAAGAATCGGAATTGCAATGTGGTGTCCGGGAAATGTAGTCACAGCCCGGCACATGCGTCAGCTTTTGTCTGGTTGGGTGTGGAGCCCGGTGGGCCGAATTCGTCAAACCACCAGGCAAACCGCAAACTAAGGGCCACCTGGAAGTCTACCCAAGAGCGACGAACCCCTTCTGAAGGAAGGGAGCCTATGCGTGTCGACTGGAAACTTTTCCTGACTCCACTGCACGACTGAGTGGGGATCAAGCGGGTGCAGTGGGAAATCAGCTGGCGGAGATCCAAACCTAGTCCTGGCCATGAATTGGTTTGGGCGTGGCTGAAGCCTAACCTAGAACGCCCACAAACCCTCACAGAGCAACCTCCTCTTGAGAAGCGGCTCCTTCCGTTCATTTGGTGGTTCAGGCTTCATTTATCCAGCCCCCTCCTCACTTCCTTAGTGGGGGGCAAAAAAGTCCTAGCTTTCCAAATCCAAACAGGCCTCTCGTCCTTTTCCTGGGGTCTGGTTTTATAAGCCATGCATGCGCCAAGCTCGAGCTCTCGAGCTCTCTCTGGGGCGCGCGCATTGAAGTCCCCGAGCTTGGCAATCAGCCTGAGACCCAGTCGGCCAAACTTGTTTTTGCTCGATCAACGGTTGCAATTGTGAGTAGGTGTGCCGGGGTTGCGCTGTGTTGCAATACGTTGTGTGATGATGCTTTGCGCTGCGTTGTGTTTTGTTATGTCGTGTTGTGTTGTGTTGCGTTGCGCTGGTTTTGTGACTTGTGTTACGTTGTGTTGTGATGCTTTGGTCCGCGTTGCGTTGCGTTGGGTTGTGGTTCCTTTTGTTGGGTTGCGTGGTGTTGCATTATTATGCGTTGCCCTGGGTGGTGACGTGGTGCGTTGTGTTGTGCCGCGTTGTGTTTTGTTGGGTTGCGTTGCGTTGCGTTGTGAGTTGTTGCGTTGTGTCGTGTGCGTTGCGTTTTGTTGGGTTGCATTACAATGTGATATGGAGCGTTGCGCTACGTTGTGTTGCAGTGTGGGGTGTTTGTTTTGTTGCGCTGCGCTTTGTTGGGTTGCGGTGCGTTGTGGTATGTTGCTTTGCGCTACGTTGTGTTATGTTGTGTTGTGTGTTGTGTTGTGTTGCGCTGCGCTTTGTCAGGTATTTGATGATATTTGTCAGGTACCGTGTTCTGGTGTTTGCGCTGCGTTGTGTCGCGCTATGTCGTGTTGCATTGTGTTAGTTTTGTGTTTTGTTGGGTTGCATTGCGTTGTGTCGTGTTGTGTTACTTTGGTTGTGTTGCATGGTGCTGCCTTGGGTTTGTGTTGAGGTGCGGTGCGCTGTGTTATGTTGTGGTGTGGCGTCGTGTAGTGCGGTGCGGTGGGTTGGGTGCGTTGCGTCGCGTTTTGTTGCGTTGCATGACGTTGTGCTGCGTTACTTTGCACTGCGTTGTGTTGCGTTGTGTCATGTGTTGTGTTGCATTGCGCTGGGCTTTGTCAGTACAGGCAAACGACAAAGTCATGCCTAAGTCACTCCTTTGTAGCTGTGGCCATGGGTTCCCCCACGTAAACGCCGATTCCAAGAAGTCACTCCTAAGTCACGCCTCGGCTCCAATTTTCCTGGAACGCTTGATTGACATCACCGAGCAGGTCATGCCAAAAAAACACAGGTGTCAACACTGAAGCACAACGGAACGCTAATGATGGTAAAGCAAGGGCGTCTGCAGGAACATGAACACCATTGGAAAGCTAAGCATGCAATAAGTTGTCACAGGAGAGTTTAGGAAGACATGGTACAATGGGTTGCCTTTGAAGGCTCGCTTCTTCAGCTCTGACACTGTCTTTTTTACGTCCTGGAGTTCTTTCTCTGGAAAGCAGGCAAGCGTATACGCAATGCACCCTGGCAAAAAAGAGCTGAAAACGAGATCAAAACGAGATCAAAGCGAGATCACTGCTCGTCCGTTGCAGAGTTGGGCCCACATGTGCCGAACCCGCGCTCACAAGTTCACTCACTTCCGCACCCGCTCCCAGCAACTCACTTCCACACCCACATTTCGACTCACTTCCGCACCTGCGAACGCCAGCCTCTCAGGCTCGCCCGCTCAGCCGTGCGTACACGCCAGCCAAATGGCAAGCATGCCCGCCCACACACCCGCTCAGCACCGCACACGCGCCAGCCCAATGGTAAGCACCCCCGCCCAAGCGCACCCGCTCAGCCCTGCACGCACGCCAGGTTAGTCCAGGTGAGAGGAAATGAAAGCAAGGCGCCGACTCGAACCATCTGCAGCAAAAGAGAAGTCATGTCAAGATTGCGAAACACATTGTAAGATAGAATATGCACAAACTATGCTAAACGCAACGGAATAACCATTTTCAACCGCAATGCCTCCCAAAAGCCTATCCCTTCAAACATGCAGAGTTTCCTATGCGTTTTAGAAAAAGGCACGACTTCTTCGAAACCCTCTCCCCCATGGAATTGAAGCAAGGCCTCAAACGGAGGCACGACTTTGCCAAATCCCTGTAATTGTCAGGTTGTGTCATGCTGCGCTGTGTTGCTTTGCGCTGCGTTGTGTCGCGTTGCGTCGTGTTGCATTGCGCTGCGTTGCGATTTGTCGGGTTGCATTGCGTGGTGTTGTGTTGCTTTAGTTGCGTTACATGGTGCTGCCTTGGGCTTGTGTTGAGGTGCGTTGTATTCTGTTGTGGCGTGGAGTGGTGTAGTGCGTTGCGGTGGGTTGTATTGTGGTGTGTTGCGTCGCGTTTTGTTGGGTTGCATGACGTTTTGCCGTGTCGCTTTGCACTGCCTTATGTTGCATTGTGTGGTGTTGCGTTGTGTTGCGTTGCGCTTTGTTGTGTCGCGTGGCGTTGCTTTGTGTGCGTTTTGCTGGCTTGCGTGGCGTTGCGTTGTGTTGCGTTGCTTTGGTTGTGTTGCATTGTGCTGCCCGGGGTTGTGTTGTGTTGTGGTGCGGTGCGTTGTGTTGTGGTGTGTTGCGGTGCGTTTTTTTCTGCGGGTCGCGTTGCGTTGTGTTGCGTTTCGTTGTGCTTTTGTTGGGTTGCGTTACGTTTTGTGGTGTTGATTTGCGCTGCGTTGTGTTGCGTCGTGTTGCGTTGCGTTTTGTTGGGTTGCGATGCGTCGCGTTGTATTGCGCTTTGCTGGCTTGCGTGGCGTTGCGTTGCTTTGGTTGTGTTGCATTGTTCTGCCTGGGGTTGTGTTGTGTTGTGGTGCGGTGCGGTGTGTTGCGTTGTGGTGTAGTGCGGTGCGTTTTTCCTGCGGGTCGCGTTGTGTTGTGTTGCGTTTCGTTGTGGTTACGTTTTGTGGTGTTGCTTTGCGCTGCGTTGTGTTGTATTGTGTTGCGTTTTGTTGGGTCGCGTTGCGTTGAGTTGTGTTGCGCTTTGCTGGCTTGCGTAGCATTGTTTTGTGTTGCGTTGCTTTGGTTGTGTTGCATTGTGCTGCCTGGGGTTGTGTTGTGTTG